TAGCCATTTACTGCTTTAAAATCAGACTTTCAAGATGACTGCTGTGGATAACATTGCAGGTAGTGGGAGTGGAAAGTTGTACACTTAGWTTTCATCATTCTCTTGGTGCTGAAAAACAGACTTAAGAAAAAATCTTAAAAATTTTTAAAAGGAGAGACTGGACAAGATGCACATATTAATTCTTATCTTTCTTAATCCCTGTTCCAGTTTTCCACAACAGCTGGATGTTCAGAATTTGAATCCAAGAGACCTGATAATCTTTTCTTAAAAAAGGAAAAAAAGAAGAATATTTATGAAGTGAGCACACAGAGGGATAATGTTCAGACTCAGTCAGATAAACATGGATTGTGTTGTGCTGAAAACAAGGGGAGACAGAGGTGAGGGTATTAAGGCACTGAGACATCTGTAATTTCTGTTTTATTCAATTGGCTTCCTTTTCTCTGTCACAGTTTCAGAAAACCAATCAACAGTTAAGATGGTCCTTTATAGAGGGACCACATTCCATGAAGTGGGCAATAAGAATTCAATTACCCAAATCCAAATTATTCCCTAGCAGAGAAATGCGCCTTGCATTTTYGTTCTTCATCTCACCAATAGGAAAATATAAACGTAAAAGAAAAGAAAAATCTTATTTTTGAAACTTTATTTATATACACTTAAATCTGTACAAAGAAAGGGTGGTTTAGGAGAATGAGGTGAGACAATAGAAAGTTAATCCCAGAGCTAATCCCAGTATCAGATACTGCTTTACATAGTTTAAGAGATAGTATTAATGATGTTTTGCYTTAATTACACTATACAATAAAATAAGAATAATTCCTTCTCATGTGCTTTACTGGGATACTCCTAGATTTAAATTGCAAAGCTATGACAAGGCCTGGCCATAATTTCTAGAGTGAAGAGTCAGTCTGAGTTGCCTTTAGCTCATCTTTCCATGTACCCAAGGAGCCTTTGAACTCTAGGAGTTTCCAGAAACTCCCTGTCATGGGTTCTCTGATCTCAGTTCAAGGTTTCTCCTGAGATCAAGCCATGCAGGCTGTCCTGTTCTTTAAGATTCCCAACATGCCGATCACCGTACAGGACTGTATCCCATGGCCCYAGAAGATCATGCCACAGACATTCAAGTCACAGAGCAAGAATGCCCCTGGGRTGTGCAGCAGCACCTCACCCCCATTCCAGCCTGAAAATTGTACTCAGTCCTTCAGTTTTCTGTTGGACACTTGCCCTGCACAATGAGCTGAGCTCTCCCTTAGATAACACGTTTTATGAAGGTACACTCAATGATTTCAAGCAGAAATTCCCAAGGGAACCCAGTGCCCTGCACGGCAGAACAAAAGCTCAGTCCTAGAAAAGTGATATGCGTGGTCCTCAGAATGGGATATTTGTCTTGTGGTRTTTAATTTAGTTTAATTAACCACATCTGTGGTTAATTAATGACAAATGTAATTTTTCTTAAATTGTCAACAACACTGTTTGGGATTCAGCACATTTTTGTAGGGCATGATCGGAAACTGGTTCTAAGTTGCATGTGTTGCTGAAACTTTACATTTCATCTGAAACTATAATGAACTTCAATGTAAATATCTTCAGAATAAAATTAAGACCACCTGGTAGAGGGAATTGATTCTGAAAGCTTTTTGCTGGAAAGGAAGCCAAATTCACTCTTGGGAGCAGGGTCTCTCATAGTGTTTCCTTTTCCTCTGAAATAATAGTATGAAGTAAAACCATTCTGGGAAGTGTCAACAAAAACTTAATTTGATGTACAAGGACTGAAAAGCCAAAGCTAGAAGGAGAACCATGGGACAAAAATGTGTTTACACAGATGCTGGATTTTCTCCAAAACCTATGAAAATAGTACTAAATCCTCTCAAGGCTGAACAATGGGACTGAAATTAGGCATCAAAGAATAATTAATATATGTTAACTTGCTCCCACCCACTCTCACACTGTGGGATTTTTTTCCCCTACAATCACAAATAATCAGCATAGTGCAAAGGTTTGTAATCCATTCATTGTGTGAGCACATAGACAGGGAAGGAGTCACCAACAAAGGTCTGATTGGAACTGGTTGCATTACTGCTTTTCTTTTTGTTAAACCATTTTAGGTAGAATATAAACACTATGGTAGTTCCTTCATAGAAATTAGTTTAATGCATGAATTTTTGTGTAAAATCTGGAGATCTCTGAGCTGGAGTCTGACACTGATAACTAGCTCAGGCACAGACTGACACCCCAGGCTGAGCTGAAATGGGGCTTCTGGGCAGGGACCCAGCTCTCTCTCAGGACCCTGAGAAATATTTACAGGGCACTTATTTTCAGCATCTGACCTTAATAGAAGTTACTTTGAATGGACTGCTTTATGAAGCAACAGAATTCATGGGACATAGTATTATGTAGAAGTACATAAGGTGGAGTATACAATACTAGATTTTTAAGTCTTAACCTGAAAAAAAAAAAAAAAGAAAAAAGAAAAAAAAATGTGTGCCTTTTTAATGATTATTTTGCTTTTAGAATGTTTGAGTCTCAAACAAGTTAATATAGCCCAAATGGCCAATGACAGAGCAAAACTGACTTACAGCTTGATCTTCACACCTGAAGAAATAAGCACTCCTTTTTTTTCTGGACAGCTGACAGCTAACAGTGGGACCATAACCTCAGAAAACTGATATGTTTCCTACCATTGACTTTGTTTTTTTAAAAAACTTTGATCTGGAGGGCATGTGTGAGGTAGGAAGGGGAGAGGAAGAGGAAAAGCCGGTATTAATTGCAGAGATTGCAGGCAGAGTAGGATAACAATTTTGAAATAAATCACAAAGCCAAACCATAACAGGAAAATCCTTGATAGTCTGAGCATTATACAGAGCCAGTACACTCTCCACAAAGCACAGTGCCATTTCATTAGTGTTCCTGGAAAGCTCAAACAAGCCATTTCCCTGATGTGGTGGAAGATCAGATCTAAATTACTAAACTTAATTTTTTGCTTCTTTATCCCACACTTCAGTATGAGAAAAACTCCACCTATTCACCTCCACCACCACCAAACAAACAAACAAACAAACAAATAAACAAACAGCAGTCCCTTCCATGAAAACAGCAGAACTACACCAATTTCAAAAGATACAAATTGGACACTGCTCATGGCTTTAAATGAATAGGTATTGAAGTGGATGTGGAAACTGCTTCTCTTTGAGCAAGTTCTACTTGCAGCTTCATTTGCTGAACATGATTCTTTCATCCCTCCTAAGTATTTAAAAAAAAACATGCACAAAAATGTCACAACGAAACTTGTCTCCTTATTTATTTCTTTTGCATTATAAAGCAGTCCTGTCTGGTTAATGCACAACTTCTTCTTTTTCAGTTGTACTCAGAAGTCTTATTTTCTGCCATCTAAYGTGATACAGTGAACCACAGAGTTATTCAAATATCAAGACAATTGGTTATTTTGCACTGATGGGAATATTGTGCATATACACTCATGAGGAGTGAAACTTTTTTCTTGTATAATAAATAATAGGAGGAAACTGGAAACTAAATATATTTTCAAGTCCTGAGCATTATAAATCTTGGCTTGTACTATAAAACAATTGTCATTTCAAGTGTATGGTCTAATCTAACACAAACAGGTTGTATATATGGTAGTTCTGGGTCACAGTACACTTACATTGAAGTTACTGGCAACTGAGGCTGAAGCTGACATCAAAATAAAGCAAATAAATATGTGGAGCCTAAGTAGTTCTGGAGAATTAGCTCTCAAGAATTCCAGTTTCTTCTTGATCTGCCTCTTACCATTGGTCAGCTTCTGTGCTTAAGATAACTTCTTATGTGTGCCAAGGGAGCTTATTATGTTTTCCTTCCATTTAATGTCAAAGTGTCACTTCCATGTGCAGTCTTTCTATCATCAAGGTACTTTAATGGTCCATCTCATTCATCAGGCCACCTATTTTCATGACATTTGTGGAAGAATTGTTAACTTTGGAACCTCTACCCCTTTTCTTCGCGTGGGACTGAACTGGGAGAGCACAGATACACAGACTTTACAAGCCTTGTTTCCAAAAGAAATCACTCAAAAAGATACTCTTCTGCCTTTTGTTTTACAAGAAGTGAGCTCATTGTAATCAAAACGGATRTCCTATAAGACAGGTTTTCCATTCAAATTAAAGATAAACAATTAACACTACCCAGGATCAGAAAAAAGCAGGGGTAAATGATAGACCAGTGGCCCCAAAGAAGCCATAATGCCCAGCTAAAAGCAGTAACACTGTCCCTTGAGGGAGGCAGGATTTTCTTATCATGCCTCTACCACAGATTGCTGCACCCATTCTAGTCATGTTCTTAAGTGTATTTCTGATCTGAAACTTAGTACACTCCCTCTCAGATCAGTTTCTTGTCCATATTGCTTCTGTCGGTAGATTTTTTCTATTTCTAATGTCTGTATAAGAATACACCCTATATCCTTAGGGTTCATATTAAAATAAGGAAAAATACCACTAGAAAATAAGGTAAAAAAATTACAACTCAAAAAGGAGTCATGGAAAGAAATTGCAAAAAAAAATTCTTCAGCAAGGAATGCTTTCCAGATGACAGAGGTAAAGGGGATGACTCATTAGTAGTCATAAAATTATGAAAAGGGTAAATGGTCCAAAATTATGGAAAAAGTCACTTTCCATGGTTAGCAGAATGAACACAAAATACCAGATTTTTCTATTTGAGTAAGCTCAGTAATATGATACATGTACTGAGCAGCTAAAATATCAGAAGTAGAGCTGGATTCTGAAATGAGTGATGCAACAAATGGGAACTGTGCAATTACAGGATCACACAGGTCCCTGAACTCACAGAAAACCTTCTGTCACGAAATGGTTTCACTTTTAGGACATGCTTGTCTTGTATCACAGAAATTAATCTAAACCTCTCTAATTTTTGTCTTATGTGATACCTCTTTATGTAGCATTATAGGTTCTGTTTCCCAACCAGTGTAAAAGTAATACTCAAGACACTGATATTTCTGATTATTTATTATGGCACTTCAAAGCATATAAACTCCATTGCTAGGTGTTTCAAACAAGTTTAAAAAAAAACAAAACAAACAAAAAAAAAATAAATGAGGCTTTAAGTTTTAGGCAGTATTTCAGTAGATTTTGGYTAAGAATTTTTAGGATGTTACTAGACATGGAATACGAGTTTTGCTAGGAAAGCAGTCTTCTTAAAGTAAGGCTTCCTTTCAAAAAAGTGTGTATGTGCTTGCTTAGATTTATCTATTTATGTTCATTGGCTTACTGATATATATAAATATAGAGAGAAAAAAACAACTGGGAGTTTGAAACAAAATAAACAAACCAACCCTGAAAATCCATTTTTCTACTTTAATGCTAATTAAGCTTATCTCATATTTATACACACCCAATTTTATTTACTTTGTAACATGGAAGTTAGAAAAAAACAACCCAAGTTCAGGCTCTGGAGTTGGTCCAATTTCGTATTTTACTATCTTAGAAAGTAAGGATGTTGGTCAAAATTCAGCTTACTATTACCTGTTCTTTGCCATATATTGTATTATTTTGCACTGAAGGCAGATTGTACTAGAGCCTAAAACCAAATTAGTTTTTTATAAAACCTCACTTAAAATTCCACTACAGTAACAACATTTCCACTTCATAAATTCGACAATTTTATTTAATAGCCTAAGTTCAGAATAGTTACATAATAGTTACATCACGGCTTTTAAAAAGAATTGCACTCAGCTACTCAGTCCATTGAAATACTAGAAAACAGGGAAAAGGAAAATATGGAGTGAAAAGGAGCTCTGTCCACTGAACTGAGTTGTTTGCAGCAAGTTCCTACTGAACCTGAAGACGTCCTCACGCTTTCTGGTAGACTCTAACACACTTGACACCATTCATGTCACATTCCTAGAAGGTAAAGAGATGGATTTATTAATTTACCTCAGTGCAGGCCAACAGGGAAAAAGCCCCACCGATTAGTCACATTTCAGGCTACTGACCAGCAGCACCTGGGGATCAGAAAGTGGGACTGAACTCACCACCATCAATTGTCCATCCACGAGCTTCCTTGTTATTGTGGTCTTCTTGCCATCCCATTCCTGCTCTTGAATCAATGACCCATCRTCTTTTAAGCTGACAAGGGTCTGAAAGAAGAACMTGACCATCAGTATTTTACCCATGACATTTGGTCGGAGCTGAGGCTTTCCAAAACCTTATTCCAAATGAAAGCTTCTCAGCCCAATTCCCTCAACAGTAATTTTATCACTGACATCTACAAAGCCAGATATTATCTTAAACATTGTATTGATCCACTTCTTACAGTAATTAACTCACTGCTCATTCACACACTGCTCTGAGTGAGTGAATTCCTGCATCAGGCATACCTTTGACAGATTCACAATTTCAATTAACAGGAGCAGAAGATGTTCTCTGTTCATCTCTTTGTGCATGGGCTTTGAGTTTTTGTGTAGCATTTATCTGATCTTGCAGTAAAAAATGCATTGAAAATGTGTGACTGGAGAGAGGAGGGTGATAAACACAAAGCACTCACAYAAGGAAATTATATGTATTCTTTGTGTTTTACCTCCTTAATCAAATATTGTTCCTACTCCATGCAAGGAGAAACTCTTTGCCTTCTAAAACTGGAGTTTAGTGACTGTAATTCACAGGGCTGCCTTGCTGTCTCTGATCCCACCCCGCATTAAACCAGGCTCTCTTGTTATGCAAATATGAGACAGAGCAGAAAGGTTAACCCTAGGGCTGAATTGCCTCTGATTAAACATCAATGGCATTTTTTCCACAGGCTTCAAATGAAGTGGCATTTGGCTTTAACAGGGATTTAGAGGTCTGTTAGTTTTACTAAAAAATGCTTCTGCTACAAAATGAAAACAGCAAAATACACAAGACTATTGATTTCAGCATTTTCCCTCTTTGGAATTTGCTTAATCCGTGTAAAAAAAAATATTTCAATGAGACTTACAGAGAGAACTGTTCATCAAATAAAGCATTGTTATGGTGTATGTCAAAACTGATTTTAAAATAGATCTCCCTCTGTGAAACACCCAAAGAATTGCATTTTTTCAACAGAAAGTCTAGTATACTGACCTGAGTTTTCCTGCCGTCTAATGTATTTTCCTCAAATTTCTCTCCAATCTTGAAGCTGAATTGTGAAGTTTTGAAGGTGCTTTCTGTTTTTATGGTGATCGTGTCCCCATCCTTAATAATGTAAACATCTGGTTTGGCCATGCTTCCCATTTTTCTCATCGCCATACCCACACCTGCAAGGCGAAAGGCACAGAGTGTCACAAAGTCAGTTAAACCCTGGGGCTTAGGGCCACACAAGAATTCAAAYACCTAATTCCCATTTAATTAGGCACTTAAGTACCCTTGAGAATCAAAGCTCAAGAGCCATAAAGAAAGAGGATGTTTTAAATTTTCCACTGATGAGGAAGGAAAAAAGCTTATTTGCAGTTACTCTTTGTTTCCCCAGAGAGTTAAAGTTAARTTTATTTTGCCCTCTAGAGGATTTGTAGACATCCCAAAACTCAGTGCTGATTTTTTTTTCCAAAGAGAAATAAATAGCAAACAGGAAAACAAACACAAAAGTTTAAACTAAAATAAAATTATTCTCTTGAAATTCTGAATACTTTAAAAATTCTACGACTTATTTTTAATTGACAGATAAATCCAATTTATTTCAACTTACTCAGTAAATACCTTCCATCGCTTTTTACACCATTGCAAACATGCCATTGTAAACAGGATGTGAATATGAAATTTTGTTTAAAAAGTATGGAGTTGCGAACTAGAAAATCACTGTCATAAAAAAATAGCGCTCACACACACTTTCAAAAGACAGAGAAATGGAGAACTGAGCTTTGCAAATGTCTGAAAATTCATGATCTGGAGACAGCAGTCCTGAAAACTCTTCCATTTCAGATTCACCCTGCTTCAGCCCCTACATGCACTGTTTGGGGGGTTTGCTTGAATCTGTTTGACCTGAAGGATGAAAATACAAATAAGAGGGTAGCAGGCAACAAGTGTGAGTCCATCAAACTGAAAAGTGCAGATCTGAACCATGAGTTGATACGCAAACAAGTGAAGCAGAAAAGAGCCTGGGTTCTGCAATGGGTGTAATTAAAAAATGTTGTCAGGATCAGCACAGCACTCCCCTGGTAGGTACAGGTAAGAGCTGAGTCCTTGAGAGAGAAATAAAGTACTTTCCAGACACTTTCTTGCATCTCCAGACTCAAATGGGATTCCAGGACTGAGCCTTAAGCTTGAGCTCACAGAGAAAAAAAAAAACAGCCATCCCTTTCATCCACCTTTTCTGATCAAAACTGGAAATTATTGCCAAGGTAACCTCCACGCACACTGTTGCTGTCATCCAGGCCAGAGTAATCAGAGCTACAGTTTGGGATCCATCTAAACAGATATGAGCTGCATATGTCTTCCATATGGCAAGAAGTTAAATTCCAAATTATTTGTCCTCAAATGTTCTTTTATGAGCAGAATGAGCAGAATCTGTATGATCTCATTTATGGTGTATCCATAGGATCAAAGGCAGAGAGTTGTGCAAGTAGCCAGCAAGGGTGAGATCCAGTAAATGACTGGCTCCTGAAGCATGACTTAGAGTAAATTTAATTGCCTAAACTGTAAATGTAAAAGGGAAAAGTGACTGGTTTATGATTTCAATCTAAAACCAAACAATACTCAGTTGCTGCCTACTCATGGGAGGTGCTCTGCAGTCTCAGCACTTAATKTCTACTTTGAAGTTGCAACTTGGCACAGCCTAGGTCTGGCCATCGGACATAAGCACCAAGGCATCCCGATCCATGGCTCAACTGAGCTGAGCTTAAAATTCTTGAATTTCCTCCAAAGTCTCCCAAAGGGTTCAGTCCAAGAGGCTTTCTCATATCATAACTATCACGTACTGACAGGCCTCCCAAAATATAATTACAGCTGCCACTGTCTGCAGAGTGTAAATGCAATGATGCCTTTCGTATTTTACATGAAGAGCGCAAGACCTAAATTCCATCTTCTCCTCCCTCTAAAGATAAGGTTACATCTTCTGCCTCTTGAGAMGATATGATGGCTTTCATCAGTGAATAAATTGCAGAAAACAGTAACTCCTGGGCTATAGACAGTGCCAGGTATTTATCACGTCAGCCAGGATGCACACAGGAAAGTGGTAAATCTGAGCTTGCAGACGAGGCTCCTGGTCTTTTGGGTGTGTTCTTCATCCGGCAACTTCATGTTACAAAAYATAGGGCAACCTGGACTCGGGGATGACAAGCCAGGACCATCCCCCAGAGATAAGGGTGCAGCTCCCCACAGAAGAAAACAGGCAAATAGCCTCCGGCAGGGCAGCCGACTGCGGTTACCCACCGGCAGCTGATCCAGTTTGGCTTTCTCGGGAGGAAACACCCAAGGTGACTCCGCGGGGAGGCAGCCCCGGCTGTGCAGGTCTTTGTGCGGCCGCCCCAGGCGGGGTGAACCAGCCCGGCCCCGAAAGCAGCGCTGCCGTGGGGTATCCACACCCTCCAGGCCGGGCAGCGCCGAGCCCTCCCCGCCGGCAGCCCCGGCTCCCCGCCCCGGGCATTACCGGCGAGGGAGGAGCGAACCGGCCTAATCGCAGCCGGGTGCCGGCAGCGGCTGGTAATCCCGGGGGCTGCGGAGGGCGCAGCGCTGTGCGGCGGGAAGGTGCCTGCTGGTGCCCGCACCTGCCTCCCAGCAATTACGGTGCAAAAAGGGCTGCTGACATCTTTAGGGCGCGGAGCCGGCAGCTYTCCCCCGAGGAAAGGTCTGCTCCCGGCCAGCGCTCCTTTCCCGGAGCCGAAAGGGCGCGGAGCCCCCGGTGCTGCAGCCCGGAGCATCGCGGCATCAGCCCCGCGGCCGCCGCCCACCCGCGGCTCCCGGCCCGGCCGCATCCACCCTCCGCCGGCCCCGGGACCGCGCTCTCCTCTCCGCGGACCTTGGACAGAGCCTCGCCGGCCGGCAGCGGCAGCACATCCCCGGGAAGGCATCCCGGCATCCATCCCTCCCTCCCGGGGGCGGGGAGCCGCCGGCTCCTTACCCAGCTCYTTCATGTACTCCTCGAAGCCCTCGCTGGAGATGAGGCACCATTTGCCCAAAAACGCATCGACGGCCATGGCGGCGGCACCGGAGTTGGCGGCGTCCCTGTGGAAACGTGAAGGCAGCAGAACGGGCTGCGGCGAGGCCGCGGCCGCCTTTATAGCGGGGCCGGCAACATGTGCTGCCGGGAAGAGCCAATGGCGCTCCCGCCGCGCCCCGGCCCCTTCCCCGCCGAGCCCCCGCCCGGAGAGTCCCGCCCGCGGCGGCGGCGGCAAGAGCGGGCACGCAGCGGCACTGCCCGCCCTCCGCCCGCACACAGACACGCACAGACACTGACAGACAGACAGACACACTCACGCACACACTGACACACAGACAGACACACAGACACACTCAGGCACACAGACATTGACAGACAGACACACAGACACACAGACACACTCACGCACACACACACTGACACACACACGGACACACAGACAGACACACAGATACACTCAGGCACACAGACACACTCGGGCACACAGACACTGACACACACACAGACACACAGACACACTCACGCACACAGACACTGACACACAGATGGACACATAGACACACTCACCCGCACACACATGCACGTACACACTCTCACATGCGCACACAGACACACACTCACACACAGACAGACACACAGACACACACGCACACCCACCCTCTTTGCACCCCAGCACACGAAAGCCAGCTGAGGGATGTCGTATTCTCAAGGCTTTTTCGAACACAAGCTCCATCCTACACCTACCGTGGTGAAAGAGTCCAGCGTGCTGAGTGCCGGTACTCATGGGCTCCAGTCTAGACTCTGAATGCTAAATTACACTGTTTATTACATATAATGCTTTTTTGAAGACTAATTCAGGAACAGAGGAGCATCATATGGCACCGAGAGAGCAATAAGGCACSAGCATCCCAAAGCAGTTTATCGGGTTTGATTGCCAGCCTTCCCAACAACTCCCCAAATCCCCCTGGTACATCACGTATTATTGAACTAGAGCAATCCATAGCTTGCTGCAACCCGGGAACAGACCTGCTACATGCACAGAGTGGTCAGTTTAGCCAACGAGATCAATCAAAATACAGAACTAACATGGGTGCTTGCAGTACACAGGAAAAGTCGAAGCCTGAATGCAACCTCATGCCTTAGCATTAAAAAAAAATGGAGATGTGATGTCTTGTTTTTAGTCCATATTGAACAGCAATACCTTTTTCTTTAAAGAAAACACTGCAGTTGGCACGATTGTACACTGGCACAGAAGTGCTGTCATAAAATATACGCTGTCAGGTTTGGACCTGTGAGGTTTGGACCAATCATTTGTCAAATTCTGTCAGGTGAGTGGAGAGATTTACTGTCATGTTTCGTGAGAAAGCTGCTATTTCTAAGTCGCAGCAAAAATTCTGATTCCAACGTACCTCGAAATTTGTTTCCAACATCAGGTTTATGCCAATTTCTGCCTCTTTTGGGCTTGTATCACATAGGATGAGATCCACAGCTACTTTCTCCTGTCTGGAAAAAGAGAAATGTGAGGATACATCTGGTATCTGGAGGTTTTTTAAGGAGTAACTGTTACTACACTTCTGTGCTAGTACTTTCGTGAAGGAGTTTGAGATGAAGATGTCAAAACCAGAGAAGACAAGCGAGATAGGTCTGTGCTGGTTCCAGCACTTCACAATATGAGAAGGTACCATGAAGCCAAACATTTTGGAGCAAGGAGGACTTCTTCCTTTGTGCTTTGCTGTGATACAACTTCACAGAGCAGCTGGAAGTTTCATAGAAAGTCAGATTTGTCATATACAAAATAAACAGGTAATTTGTGAACTGATTAAAAAAAAATCCTCTAACTATCCTTCCCTACAGAGTTGTCTTTAATTACTTTCTGCTTCTCTGACTATAAGCTTGTTTTGAATATGCAAACAACACTATAGCGTCTGCTCATAAACCAGCAAGTCACGTTGCTTCTTTTTAGTGTTATTAAGTAGGTACATTGAAATACAAGACTTTCAACATTGTTCCACCTTTATTATTTTTTTTTTAATCTTTTGTATGTGTGTATGCCTTATGTAAGAGATTTCAGAGCAAATGTTAAATTAGGGTGATGTTACTGACTAATTCATGGTAGCTGAACCAACATGCAATTCTGCTCTGGTTGGTTACAGAAAGGATAAATGGAAAGCCATTAGATTAGGGATCAARCAGAATCATCCTTCAGGAATTAGGAAGCCTTCAGTCTTGTAAAGCAGGGACAATTTCTAGAAATAGAAATCTTGGCTTTACTCCATGTACACTAGCAAATAATTTTGGATCCACATTTCTGCAGTTCTGCCTGCAGATGGCTTACAATATGCAAATAGTGTTCAGGTATGAGTGCTGATAATGTAGCAGAAGATGTAAAATCCACTATTTCCATCTAGTGGTGAGAAGTATTCCTGGAGCTGAAGTACCTGAAGATCCAGTTACCTACCTGGGCACAACATTGCTACAGTTTTGAATCCTCCCACTAGTCATTTGGTCTGATTTATTCTYCTTACAAATTTTTCAGGTCTAGGCATGTAAGTTCATACAAGACATAAGAAGAAAAGAGACTATTATCTCTCTTTTCTGAAATTCAGATTGTTAGGGTACAGTGACAAATCTCTCTCAATTCTTGCAAAGTTCTAATGTTTGGCAAATTGATCAATCCAGTGAGATGGATTACTAGCTGTGGTATCATCAATGCCATGTCTCAAAACTTCTTTGAAACAGTGCTGAAATTCTCTGTATAGCAAATAAAGTAAAACTACAGGGATCAGAGTTGTATCCTTCTGGGCAAGGTACAAGTGGCCTGGGCTACAAAATATACACGGGTTCTCATCTTGACAGTACAGTATATATAAATATATATATATTTGCCAAATATGGCTCCTACTTTGGGAGGCAAATTAAATGTTCAGACACCCAGAGGTGCTTAAGCCACAGGRATTCCCTGTAAATCTCAGTTGCTGCCTGTTTTGAGGCTGACATCACATTCAGACCTTTTGTGTTTGTTTAGTCCCTCTTTGGATATATGAAAAGAGAAACAGCAAATACATGTACACCTATGGAAGATGCTGAATTCCTACRCCACATATTACTGGTTCAGTGCAGGCAGATTAAATTCTCTAAAGTTTTGTTCATTTCCACCTTGTGCTATACACTGTCCAAGAAAAGAAGAATCAAATTTGCCATGAGAAGTGTAAATTTTTCTGAGGAGATGAGCTGCACGGCAAGCACGTAGCCACATTTAGGAGTAGCCACCACCTTGGCAGCTTGAGCCTACCAGGGTGGATGCTTTCCAAGGGCAGTCAAACCCTTGCACCTTGTAGCAGGGGAGGATATTACAGTTCTTCATTACCAAGTGCAAAACAAAAAATAAAAAAAAGGACCAAGGGAAAAGAATGAAGAGACCTTCATTCCACCCCTTGGGGCRGGTGTGTGTGGTGCAGTGATGCTTCATCTGATGTGGGAGCTGGGAAGCTGTGGCCAGCAGTGTTTGGGGTTTCTCTTCACGTAGCCRTAGATTCATCTACTGCATGCAAGCTAAGCCATATTTTGTCTTCTGGAGTTGCAATACCTGCTGCTTGGGCAGGGCAGAGCACCACCTCCTCGTCAGGAGGTGTACCACTAATCAGGTTCCAGAGGAGGTGTACRTTTTTCCCTAGACCTTCACTCATTGAACTGCCCATATGTTTAACTTGGAAGGAGCCCAATCTGATAGCACTATGCTCTGCTGTGGAAGGGAGGATCTCACTTTCCTGCTASTATACAGACATATTGTGTATATGGACTACCTTTTCTAAGTGGGAGGCTTCTTTTAGATAAGATTACCTCTGGAGAAAGCCTTAAAAAATTATCAGGAAAATTGGACACCAGTGCCCAAATTTTAATCTTCAGCCTAGCTGTGGAAAAAAAGGAGTCCATGAATAATAGTTACTCACCCCCAAGGCATGGATGAGAAAAATTGCACAGGTAGCACAGCATTGTTTTTGTTTCCTTGTTGTACAAGTGTGGTTTTCCCTTCCCAGCTGTGTCATCACCGGGCAGGCATGACGGAACACGTGCTCCTGTTGCATGGCTGGCCTAAGGAAGCTTTACCACTCAAGAAATGTTTGCTTGGGCAAGACTAGATCAGGGATTATGAAGCAACACCACATGAGCCTGCAAGTTTTCCTTTGTGTGTCTGTATGCACAAGACCTGCCAGCATATCAGCATTTYGTTAGCTCTGAGCTAGAAGAGCGGGGCATAGCCTGTGTTTTATCAATGAGCTTAGTGCAACACATCAAGTCAAAGCAAAGCTATGTTGCTTTCCAGCATGGAGCATGGGCCCAAGGAATCCTTGCTGTGGATCTGGAGATGGCTGCATGTGCCCTGGGTCGGCAGCTGTCGGGGTGGACAGGCTCACGTGTGCCGGCRGCCAGCGCCCGGCGCTCCTCATGCCACAGAGCATTACTATAATGCAATTAGCATCCCAGCAGCCTGAGCCYGTGTCCTGCAGCACGTTCAAAGCAAGGTTAAAGGGAAATGCTTCTAGGGCAAAGTTTACTGTGGCAATGGTGTGACAGCTCACTGATTGTACCTGCCTCAGTGATGAGAGAGAAAGCTCCAAAACCCTGCAAAACCCTCTAAAACCTCCTTGAAAGAGGACTCCAGGCTTCATTTTCCTCTTTCCAGACAAGAATGATCTGATGTCACTTCCAGCCCAGCTCACAATGGCTGCAGATATGTGAGCTTTGAACTTTGGAAGCTTTGAAAAGCCCTTTTTATTTAGCAGCAGTATCTACTCTGAATAACAAACATCCACACATTAGAATAAAATTTTTTTTATTTATCTTCAGAATTTTATAATCAGCATACTCATTACAGTGCTAGAAAAGAGATCAGGGTGACTAAAAATCTTCYATAGCTGTAGTTTTAGCACTGGAAAAGCCTTTGACCCACCTAAAATAAAAGCACATTAGCAGGGAATACCTGCTCACAGAAGAGACTTTCAGAAAGCAAATACTCATGGCTTTTAGAAACGTCAGATGTACAAAAAATCATACCAAATGATGTCTCTATGAATAAAAACTAATAAAAACCTTGACCTTGTCCTTTCTGTGTGGTCTGGAACAGTCAGGACATAAGGGCAAGGACAAAGAATGTGGAAATTATTTGGAATACATAATGATAAAACAAATATTTCTACTAATGATGAGTATGTTATGAAATTTTGAATCACAAACTAGAGGTGTGCCCACTGGATTTTTAAGGGTGTACAAAGCTTTAGTTTATTTCTTTGATTGCATTTTGTAAGTAGAGTTTCATTACTAAGGATATTGATCAACCACTTTGAAAGGAATCTCTGGAAAAAGAAAATGTTTTATTTATAGTTACAACCATACTTTTCATTCTCAGGRCATCACAAAGGACTCATTACAGCTACAGTAATTTGAAGGGCAGAGCCTGACACTCAWGCTCTAAAAGAGGAARGGTCTTYTCATTGTGATGTGGATACCAACACYTTTCCCAGGAGTGCTGGAGAGGAGCTGCAATTGCTCCTCTTCCTGTTGACCAAAATCGTGTAGTGTGGTGCTAGGAAYACGTGTAGGCTGTCAGTGGSGTGCTAGGAATATATGTAGGCTGTCTGCCTCACCATGGCTCCTGAAGGACTTCATCCTGGGCAGGTGTGAAACACCTGCAGCACTGTTGATGGGGGTTCCTTTTCACCAAACAGCTCAAACCTCCTCACACCTGCAGGCAGCTGGAACAGAGAGGCTCTCTGGGGTGCCACTCAATGTATCAGCTTCCAGTTCTGACTCACCTTTCAAGACCTCCTTTATCATGGGCTGTAGAACATCATTGGAGGAAAACCCTTTGGGAGCTAAAGCTAGTTTTATTATCATCCCATTCCTACCGCCAACATGCTAAGTATGCCAAGAGTGTTGGCTGGCTACATGATTCGTGTTCAAAAGTCTTCTAAGAAAATTCTTGCCTCTGGCATCTCAAGCAGCCATGCAGGACAAGCAGGTATTTTCCACTTTGCTCTTCTAGACWTGAAAAGTCTCACAGTATTTGGGTTTACACCCCTGATTCCATCTCAAGATATGATATTACATATCTAACAACTAGACCAGGAATATCTGTAAGGAAATAAGAAATTACATTGCAGTTCCYTGATTTTTTCCAATGCTTCTGCCAAAAGTTTTTGGTACTGATTCTGCCACCTTTTCTTTTATGTGCAGCTTATCTTGATAGCAATCTAGCTATTTGAAGGAAGAAGTAATCATCTGATTCTTAAATTTCTCATTCCCAGTAAGTACTCTGAAATTCATTTGAGGAATGGATTTTGAAATCAAATTCTATAAAGCTTCATCTCTAAAAAGATACTTAGTTTCTTTTATTTGTGCAAATGGTTGAACTACTCAGATYCCCCAGTAGTGAAAAGACAATTCCATGCATCCACGCAAGAACTGAATTAGAGTGGACAAACTTGCTGGCTTTGCATGCTAAACATACTATTTTTACAGTAAGGTCTTTGAGTCCTTTGTTGAAAAAGGGTGGAGGGCAGGGTTCAAAAGAAATAGTGCCTGAGTAAGGAAGGAACCTGCTGCTTTGCCTCCTGCCTGTCCTCTGAACTYCCTAATTGTCTGTCTGAATTGTGAAAATCTGCCCACTAAGGATGTCTTTCCCAGGCTTTGCTTCTATTGACCAAGCATTCCCTTTACAAACAGGTCTGYTGGTCTACTTTTGTAGCTACTTTGCCTTAAAAGAACTTCCTATGGAAACAAGCCAAACTCACCTCTTCCATTGAAGCWCAACACAAAGATCTCCTTTGATGTGCAATTAACCTCTGCTATTAACACTGCCAGTACATAGGAGACAAGCAGAATTTCTAGGCTTGCCTAATCTCTGCTTTCAAGTACCACTTCRGAACTTCAAGAGACAGGATCAAAAGAGGTCAGCAGCTCCTTTGCCTTCCTGCCCCTAGCATCTGCCCCTGGGCACAGMCTTAGTTTTGTGAAATCCCGAGACCAGGTCAAAGAAAAGACAATTTTTTGTTAAATTAATGATCAGAAGCAAAGTACCACCTCTACCTGTTCATGCTGCTCCATCCCAATATTTATGAGCTTACAGAGCAAGGCTGAACAGAAGCAGAGAACATGGAGTGGTCCACCAGCTGCAGAGTACCTTGGCTGCTTGAAACTACTGCAAACAACAAAAAGGGCTCAGAAGAGTGGCTCAGGCCTCCCAAGGGGAAAGGGGAGACTGGATGACATTGAACAGTACCAGTAAGGAAAAAGACTTATTAGGACAAGAGATGGAGAAGGTGGGGAAGTGCATCTGGAAGAAGCATCACTGACAGGCAATGTGTCAGTGTCAACGTGACTCCAAGCCACCCAGAGGAAAAGCAGGGCCTGGCATCCAGGGCAACCGGTTGCACAAGGGGCTGGTGAGGTGGACAGTGAGCAAGCAATTCTTAAAACTGCAAGGAGTGTATACACGTGTAGGAGACACATTTGAAAGTGAGCATCTTCASAACTGTTAAATACAACCCCAGGACTTTCAACTTTTGTCAGGGTTTTTTTTGCTTTCTTATACCATATAAACTCCTTGATCATTTAAAATTTAAACAAGCAGAAGTGAAGAACTTGCAATGTTCATTAACACTGCTGCTCCTAGCTGAAATCTGTTATAAAAATACCATTATCATTTTCTAAAATCGATACTGCAGATATTTATAAAGGGAGTACTTCAGCCAGGTTGTGCTGTCTGAATGGCATTTTCATCTATTCCAGGACTATTTTCCCTATGCAGTGATAAGAACTTCTGAATAAATAGGTATGTGTACAATGAACAGATCTAAGATGATTCTAATAATTGTTAAATCCCCAGGCATTAGAGATTTAGCCATCTGAATGTCATCACCTGCAACCAGACACCCTGTGTAGCCATGGGGTTTGTATTTAGGCAATCTCAGAGCCTGTTTTCAGAGCCTGTTCCAGCTCCTTTTATCGTTGCACAAGCACCTACATTTTTGGTGGGATACAGTAATCAAGATTAGTGGGCTGAAGAATAACAACATGCAAAGTCAATGCTCACCCAGACACGCTTTGTTCTGCATGAGTGACCTTAATACCCCGTACATCCCCAGCGCTGGCCTGTGCATGTCAGGAAGCTGTCAGAGCTTTGTTTCGGTCAATCAGCAGCAGGAGCTGAGAGTGCAGGAGCAGCTTGCAGCAAAGCTATCAAAATGCTCAGGGAAGAAAGTCATTACAGATTATCTTTAAAATACTTGAAAAATAAATTCATACCTTTATCTCCACAGTACAGGGAKAGCAATTTTCTACTTATTAGCATAATAATCATCAGAGGAGCGCCTTCTTGCCCATCTTGCTTGTTTATATCACTCCAGTATCTTGTAGTCTCGAGGATGCACATTTTTAGCTTGATTTTTCTGTTCTRCAGGTTTTGCTTTACATGTTGCATATTAAAAACCCAGTCATTACTTCTTTTTCATGTACARAATGTATCAGAGCTTTATCACTGCAAACTGCAGCTCCCAGCACCCACAACAAAAGCAGCACCAGCCGACACCTCATCCACAGATTTGGTGGTGATCTCTCAATGGAAACRTTGCAGGCCTTTGGCCTGACCTCCCTTTTCTATGCATAAACATAAGTCCTAATCTTGGGCCAAAACAAACACTGTAGAAATGTAATTATTATCAAAAACTAATTATTAATTACTTAATTCCTGTTTTACTCTGTAAGTACTTATAGAYGGCTAATTATTTAAGATGGATGTAGGTGCTTCACATTAAAACACAAGTTGCRTACACTGATGTACAGACTGTCAAAGAAAGAAAAAAACCCACAAAAATCATTGATATATTACAGTAACAGGGCTTGTGAGCATATGAATACAKGACTAACCAGGGAAACAATAATTCTGTGCAGGTTTTCCACTTGAACAATTTTCACTCTTCCTGCAAAGCTTTTTCAGGTAAAGTCATGACATATGATGTTATTCTAAATTGTGGGAAAAACAAAACAAAACAAAAAACAATAAGACAACCTGTCCTTTGAGCATTCTTATTTCAATTTGGTCCTCTTCTATGGCACCCTTCTAGCTTGACAGGATTTATAATTCTCTGTTTCAGGTGTTCTCATAACCCCTCTGCTGTAAGGGAGCTCATTAGAAGGTTTAGAAGCTCAACACTCCAAAACCACTCTGAAGAGCTGGTGATTTAATAAAAAAAGGATTCCAGTGCAGAGAAGGTATTTATCTCAGACAAAGCTATTCACATCTACTGTTCCCATGTCCAGATTTCATTGAATCATCATATCTCACTCTATTTGTTGCAAACACATGGGAAACACCCAATGTCTTTAGCACAGCTCTCCTCCAACAGAAGACAGCACCTTGACTTCGACATTCTAGTGAAGAAGTTGTAAAGAATTACCTTGACAATGCCATTTAAAACAATCATGCTTTCAGAATGGACAGTGTACATTTAATAATCTTGGCAAAAGTAAGGTAAAACTGGTTTTGGATTTGTGTCCTAAATCTGCTGCCAAGTTAACTTTGGAAATATACATACTAGTTTTAGAGCAATCAGGCATCTGCTTAATACTAGGCAGAACTAAAGCCTCTCGAGAATACTACACCTGCAATTCTCTTGCAAAGTGGAACTGTATTTTTATTATGAACAAAACTGATGGACCTGAAATACATATGAGGCTGACACYTTCACCTGCACAGCCTGAGGAGAGATCGACCCTTCCAAACCCACAGAGCTTTGCAATACAGATGAGACACCTAAGCAGTTGCTTTAATAAATATTAGGGCTGGACATGGGACTGTAAACACCAAATAAYGCTCTCCCTTTGATCTTTATAAAATATTTCATTAAATATCCCAAAAGTGAGTGACAAAACCACTACAAAACGGAACTTCAAAGATAGACCATTTCTCTAATTATCAAAAAACTAACTTACCTTTCCCTTTGAGCTAAACTTAGTTACTTCTATGCAGGATGAGTAGCTCTACTTTCTGTCGACAGTCCTATTACCTTGTTACTTTAATTGCTGAGCTAAATTTGCACTTAGCAAATTTCCCACTTCATTGAAAAAAAGAGGAAGAAAATGGCAGGGATTTAGCAATAGATATATTATAAACATAGTATTACAAAATCCACTCTTTTTGCAGCCTGCTGTCCCTCAACTAAGTCAATGATGAATATTTTTTTTAAAGTTTTTCTGAAATTTTAAGTAAATTTAATAGCTTTCAAATAATAAYAACCACTCTAACAATGTTTTGCATTATACTGTACAGAAATTTTGTAGGAAATAATGTCTAAAGAGACATGGCTTCATTGCAGTATTAATTTAATAGCTAATGGGTATTATTCACATTGATATGCAAATACATGTGATATTAGTCCAAAATGCAGCTGCTTAGAAAGATGCATTTATGCATCTTAAACCATCATGACCCCCAGTGTTAAGAAGAGTTCTCCTTCAAGGGAAGGCAGGGAACATTTAAAGTGGTTTGGCCATCTTTCAGATTTTGTTGCAGTTTTTAAAGGAAAAAGCCTTCTGTGCAGCCAGATGTTTATAACACATGTAGATGCAAACACACTTGTTTTTCTGTTCTTCATGCATTCTTCTTCTTGTTCTTCTGTTCTTCCTTAAGGTCTTTTGCATTACATCTGGACCCCAATGCTGTTAACATTTCCAGTGTTGTCAGGTGGGCTCCCTTCATTATCAGTCGATCTCCATCAGCTGTAAATGAAGAAAATCTTAAGTCACAAAGTAACAATGACTTTAGTGTGCAGATTTTTTGTACAAATAAATCCAAATACCCTGTTCATCTTCTCTGATTAGAAAGTACTCCAGCTACCAAGGAGCCTTACTATGCACCACTGCTGAACAAACATATCAAACTGCCCACAATATGCATTTAATTTCCACTTCTGCATTGCATTATTGAAAAATCTGAAACATTTGTCTAGATATGCCTCTGCTTTTGATGAGAATGYTTATACTATGCCCTTGAAGTCATCTCACAGAAGGCAAAGGCAGCTTTGGAAGGCACAATTTCCACACATGGCTAAGCATTTTWGTAGCCTGTTGTCTGTGGTCAATTTAACGTACTTCTTTAGCCAAAACAACAAATTGGTTCACACAATCTGGTGGTTTATAATGTAAAAAAATAGAGAGCATTACAATTCCTAAAATTTTGAAAGAATTTCTTTTAAAACAGGCAGGAAGCAGTAGGAGTTGAGTATTGTACCCGAGTTAAATATTTTGCAAGATTTGCAAATACAAAACCCATACCCAAAGCCATATAGTGCAAAACCATGCCTGGCATCCAATATTCCAGCCCCATCTTTGCCAACTGCAACGGCTTCACTGGAGAAAACACAGCTTTTAGAGAATGAAGAGTTTAGAGGTGTCTTGGCATTAATGAGATAAACTGTTTTGGGTTTACACTGTGAAAAAGCATTGAACTTCACTGTTTAAGTGCTAATATATCACATCAGAATTAGAGACAAGGATGRGAAAGACACAGGCATGGGGGAGAGAAAAACAAGCAATATTGAAATAGCAACAGTGAAATAGGTAAACTTTCCTAAGCAAAACAAAGAACATTCAGCACTTTTGACATTTCCACCAATTCACTAAAAATATGGAAGTTTAAAGATAAGGGGGCAGCATGAATCAATAATAATGAAAACTTTAATGGGCTACATGACATATTGGTCCATTACAGCACAGCAGGAAAGAAGATGCAGCCAGAGAAAAGGACAAAAGCAGATTAGAGCCATCTGTTCATAGCCTAGAATCTGGGACGCTTCCAGAACTGATGAAATTTCTACCACCAATTCTCTGCCYGCTCACTATACCCTCAAAGGAAACTGAGAAATTTGTTGTACATAGYTGACCTCATTCTTCAGGTCCATCTGCACATGTACAGCCTCACCCAACTCAGCAGTTCCTTCAAATTACAGCTACTCAGTTGCATAAGCAACTAAAGGTATYCAACCTTCTGTTCTCAAGACTGAGACATCTCCACCACAGGTAACATGAAAAAATGACAGAAAGTAAACAGATTATTTGACAAAAACAGACCTACATTTACTTTCCCCGAATTGTACCTGACTGCAAGGTCATATAAATACATCACTACTAAAATACACTGAGCTCCAAAGTTGTCAGTTGATGGATCTAGGATCCTTGAATCTAAAATTTATCTAGACATCAGGCTGTTAGTGATACCCTCTTTCTTTTTCCCTACTAGCTTCACAACATCCAGCTACGGACCAAAGCGAAAAAAAAAAAAAAAAAGGAAAAAACCAGAAACAAAAACAAAACAACCAAAAAAACCACAAAAGAAACCCCCCACAAAAAAACCCCACAACTCAAACAATAAAAAACCAAAAAACAAAACCACAAAAAACCCAAAAATTCACAAAAAACACAAAAAAGCAGAAAAAAACAAACACAAAGCTCCAAAACTATAAACAACCCCCCCCCCAGTTAAAAAAAGAAAAATATAGAACACAATAACATTGTAACAACACAAATCCAGAGTTTTTTTGTTTGTTCAAAAACAAGCTCCTTACCAAACGTAACATCTACAACTGGTTCTGATCCATCATGTCTCACATCAGCAGTCACTTCACAGTTTGTATTAGTAGCTTGGACTTTTTTATGGTAAATACATTGAAGAAATTTTCTGAAAGTATATTTAAAAGTATATTAAGTATGTTAGAGACAGAAATTTAAGTAAGCATATTTCTAAAACTAATTTGCATATCTTGATATTGCTGGGCAACAAAGCATGAACAAAACAGGATTTGTACTTAAGTTGAGACAGCTACTTCTTATGAGTGAACCATTCCTAAAAATCCAAATAGATATTCCTTATATAGTAACATGTAAAAAGTATACCAAAGAACTGTGTAAAACTTCAGTGCAGACACTTTGTGTGTTTCTCTCAGATAGATTAGCAACAATAATAAAAAATTAAACAACCACGGCATTTTAATTTTTCTTTATACATTATTTGCTTGCCAATGTTTTCTTGTTTGGGTTTGAGACAGCATTTATTTATATGACATCTTTGGTCTCCTGTAGATTTCTGAAATGTATGACAGCTAATTTAAGCTGCTCTTCTGGCAGCTTAAAGATAATCTAAGATAAAATGTGTTACTAACTTCATTTTGAAAGTAGGTGTGCCTGTAAAGTCATTGCAAAAGAACATTTTGCAATTGTTTGGTGCAGAACCTACGTGGTTGGAGAGGCACCTTAGACTTGTCCAACAAATAATTACTGGGATAGAGAAGCTGCTGCTGCCCCGCTTCTCCGTTACCAGCATTTGGAGTGGTTTACACACCGTCCCTACAGGATCAGTCTCTCAGGGTGTACTTTGGTAAAGCTCAGGGCTTTATATCACGCCCATATAAAAGGGTCTACACCTGGGCAGAGTCCCTCCGAACAGCAGCAGAGAATGAACCCTGTAGTCCCTCCGAACAGCAGCACAGAATGAACCCTGCAGTCTCTCCGAACAGCAGCACAGAGTGAATCCCGTGTGCCAAGAGCCCAGCCCTGGCGCCTGCCGGAGACATGCAAACCCGTCACCCATGAGGGTGCAGGAAGGGCGAACGGAGGGCGCTGGGGKGTCTACAGACAGGGAGCCCGAACAGAGCGGGGCTGGGGCCGGGAYCACCCCGCAGCCCCCTCACCTCGTGCTCTCCACGTTGGGCTCGAAGGGGCAGAAGCGAACCACGATACTCTTCACGGGCCTCAGCACCACGCTGATCTTGGACGCCATYTTCTCCCCGCCCCCTACTACAGCTCCCAGCAGCCCCCGCGCAGGAGCGCACGGCGGCGGTGGCCGAGCCGGCCCGCCCCGCGGGCACCTGGGAGCTGTAGTTCTCGCTGCCTTCTCTGGGGCTCCCCGAGCCTCGTTGAATGACCCGAGGCACTCGGGGACAGGCTCATTCCTCGCTGTGGAGACAGAGGGACCAGCTGACCTGCTTGTGTCAGAGAATCACGCAATGGTTTGGGTTGGAAGAATGTTAAATTTCATCTAGTTCCAACTACCCTTCACTGGACCAGGTTCCTCAAAGCTCCATCCAACCTGGCCTTGAACACCTCCACGGATGAAGCATCCATAGCTTCTCTGGGCAACCTGTTCCAGCGCTTCACCACTCTCCCAGCAAAGAACTTTTYCCTAATATCTAATCTAAATTTCATATCTTTCAGTTTAAACCCATTCTCCCTTGTTCTGTTACTACATGCCCTTGTAAAAAGTCCCTCTTCAGCTTCTTGTAGGCTCCCTTTGGAACTGGAAGGCCACAAAAATGTCTCTCCAGACATTTCTCTGGGCTGAACAATCGTGACTCTCAGCCTTTCCTCGTAGGAGGAGTGCTCCATCCCTCTGATCATATTCACGGTCATCCTCTGGAGCTGCTCCAACAGGTCAATGTTCSTCATGTACTGAGGAACCCAGAGGTGGATGYAGCACTCCAGATGGGTTTTCACAAGAGTGGAGTAGAGGGGGAAGGTAAGAATCAGTAAGGAGTTGCCAATACAGCTAAAGATAAATTAGAGGCCGTGTTTTGCAATACATCAAGGAGGAGAATGATTTGCAAGAGGTMCTGCTGCTGCATTTGATTTTTTGTTTCTGATGGGTTATGTCCGGCTGTTTCCCAGCCCTTAAACTAAGCCTGGAGAAGAGGAAGCTCAGGGGTGACCTGATCACTGTTTACAACTCCCTGAAATGATGGTGTATCTGGGTGGGGATCGGCCTCTTCCCCCAGGCAGCCAGCGACAGGATAAGAGGACACAGTCTTAAGCTGCCCCAGGGAAAGTTAAGGTTGGCCATTTGGAAGAAATTCTTCAAGAAATGGAATTGGAATGGGCTGCCCAAAGAGGTGGTRGAGTCACCATCCCTGGAGGTGCTTAAGTGTGGATCTTAAGGAAAGACTACAAGTTGGTGCCATGTTGTAGGTGACATGGTGGTGTTCGGTAAAGGGTTGGACTCGATGATCTCCGAGGTCTTCTCCAGCCTGATTGATTCTGTGGCTGTCTGGGTGCCGGGTGATTCTGTGACTGTCGCCGTGTGTCCGGGTGCCACTAGATGGCACGCACCTCCCTGGAAAATGGCTCCGGGAAGCGCCGGGATCTTGGCGAGCGCTGGGAACGGCAGAACGTCGCTCAAACCAACACATTTCTGTGCAATATTCAATACAGACCCACTCCCMCGACCTACGCGAACTGCATTACATGTCTAGCATCTCTCGAAATGGGTAACCTATTTTTAGAAGCTCATCTGTTTATTCCAAGTCCTCTTTCTTAAAAAAGCCCRCATAGTCATTGGGTAAAACCATCGTCTTCACTGAGATTTAGACAAGAAATTAACTAGCAAGACAAGGCACAGTGGAGTCAATATAGTTGTAATGTTTAAAGTTTTTATTCTCTCAAGAGAATAAAAACATTAATACATATATTTTTATACATGTATAATAGTCTTTCCTTATGAAAAAAAGGAAAAAAAATACATTATTGTGAGATATCTTTAAAAAGACTTCACTGTATCCATTAAATAGCTGTTTCAAATTGGAATTTTTCCTATATAGTAGTCTTAGATACAGGGCCAGGTAAATTGAGTATTTTACATTTGGATGGCAAAAGAAACATGAAATTTCAGTATCTCTGTCTTCATTATAACACAAAGAGCTCAATGTATTCCATTCAAAATCTGTGGCAAAATTTCTATTGGCCTCTATGGTAACACTAAAGGAATACCAGTAAAGAACAGGGAAGAAAGAATGATCACTGATTTTACTAAGGGCTCCATTCTTCCAGTRCTGTTGGTACTGCGGCATTCACTGACTTAAAAACATGCATGGCCAAAACAGTTTTATATTTGCTCTTATTGCTTTTTTTATAGTAATTTAAGAAGAATGTTTATCTTTCATTGCACAATTAAATTAAGARAAAATTTTATTTACTCCTTTTCACACTCAAGATCAGTTAATTTTTTCACTTTTATTATCAGCAGCAAAATTTGCATCTTTCCCCTTAAGCCATCTGTTWAAAGTAACTGAAAACCTTCTCTGCTTTTTCAAAGTGATTTTTAATTTTTTGAAGTTTGAGAGATTCCCAGTAACACCACACAACAGGTATCTGGTAACTGAAAGGCTCTGTGTKCTATTTCTCCCTTTGAAGAATACTCTGTGAAATGAAAGCAAAGGTTCCTACTCATCCCTACGAATAGGAATATCTCTTTCTTGGATGCTACCCCTACTTGTTGACAGGCAAGTTTTCTCACCACTTATTGTAGATGCAATAGTTGTAGCTGATGGTAATTCTGGTGAGAGTGTGAACTTTTAGAATTACTAAATTAGATAAATAAGCAGCAAAGTGACACAGCTATTATATAAAAAACAACTATCCAAGCATTTCTTCATCTTCTTTAAACCCGGGTGGTGGTTAATCACAATACTACCTTCAGTTTATACCAGAGTAAGCCCAACTGACGTCTGCCATTTCAGGAAAGCTGATTGTTTATCCATGAAAGACCTCAAATCTGTCTCTCCAGCTCCAGCAGATAATCTGGGAACTCTCAGGTGTCTGCATGTGAGACTGTTCTCAAAAGACAGCCTTGGGAGTCTGAATGATTCATGATTCCTATACCTATTGATAATCCTACCCATTCCTAAAGTGTAGTAACATGAAGGAGCATCAAAAGATAGATTATTATAATGGAAACTATTTTACTATTCTTTTCACTGGGTGGATCTCTTTTATTATAAATACTGCCTCATCCCAAGTCTACAGACTTTCATGTCATCAGTTTCACTGAAGTGTAGCCACGAGCTTATAGATGATTTATAGCTAAGCACCATACACAGCAAGGGAAAGCTGCAGCCATGCTTTTTATATTCTAGTTATGCAGAGAAAAGATGCAGAAAAAAGTCATGCAGAAAAAAAAGTCTGTAATATTAATTACACTAAGTAAATTTTCCTCTTGTCTCATTGATTATTCCAGATCTCTTAGATCCAGGGAAGACACTTCTGTTCTTTCTCCTGTTTTTTACTTAACTGCTTTCATTTTCTGTTGTATTTTCTGACTACAGAAAGGTCCCCAGTTCAGAACTCTTGAAATCTAATTTATCTGCTAAAATCATGCCTGTTTTTAGCACCTCTGCTCTGGGTCTTGATTGTTCTTCAGACACTGCATGAGAGGGACTGCATTTCAGGTGTGGTGTAACACTGCCRTGTGTTTATTTAGTTCAGGAGACTTGGATCATCCTCTCTGACTGTCCTCTGCTGATTCCCTGCTCTGCATCTTTATTCTATTTCTGCTGAGTCTTTCYCTGAGTCTTGTCACAAATGTCAGTAGGCTTGGAATTTACCAATCAGAATGTCATGGCTGCACATTTAGTTATAATGCTAACCCTCTTGTAACCCAGGAATAAAATTTAATGCTGCCTTCAGGGCAGTAGGCAGTGCTGAGGAAAAGTGAGCCAACACAAAGCCAGCAGCCTGCCTGTTCTGCACTGGGGTGATGCTTCCAGATGGCCACCCAGAAGAGGCTCTTTGAGCAAGGCTGTGTGCTGGGCCTGACAGGAGAAGCAAATTATTTCTGGAAACAGAAAAACACCCTGACATGTGCAGTATCATGGAGCATACCTTCAAAAGAGCAATGGACAGAGACAGTCAAGCTCACCAAGGACTTGCATCAAGTAATTTTAAAATACTAGTGCCACACTGAAGGACATGTTGGAATGAATTCCCTACCATACTGGAGGAACACTGCTTATAGTCATAGAAATATAAACCAGTCTGTGTTTTCTGTCTGGCTTTGTTTCTTCCTTTCAACTGAATATTTTACACCATATGTCAGTTACTGAATTTTAAAAATATTTTCCCAAAGAGAAGAGCTGGTAAAGGTCCTTTATTCTCTGAAAATTGTAGAAGTGAAGCATAGTTTTATCCTAATAGTACTGCCAATTTTGCATTTCATTTATAAACCAACTAATAGCTGTATGCTGTTAATGTGGTTTTCAAAAATAAAAGCAAAGAATAAAATCAACCAGCAAGGTGCCACTTCAAATGAGCTTGGTTTATAATTAATTCTAAAATAATAACTCTGCCTATCAGTTCAGAAAAGCTCTTATGGGAGTGAATAAACAGATTCCCTAGYTGCTCTTTACTCCTCTGCAAACATGTATTTCTATTGCCTGAGGTTAACAACTGCCAGCAGAAATGTTTGCTAAAATAATATGCAGCATTTAACTGGCTGAGAACATACTGTGCCAATTCCTGACTTGTAACTTAATTTCTTGAGGATAATACCAAAAGCTTTATTTCGTGTATTTTCTTCCCTGTCCAATAAATGCTACAATAAATATCTGCAATTATCCTTTGGATTTTTATGTTGATTTAAAATGTGCACTTGCTGCCAGCAAAGAAAGTTCATGAKCATAACAGCAAAAGGCACAAAGATGAGCTAAAATGGGAAGAACCCAAGGTTAGCACCTGAGTCCTTCAGGTCTGGAATCTGTTCTTGAAACTCCAGGTAGATTAAATGTGTGTATTTTTACTTTAAAGGTCTTTGCACCCAGTGGCTCACAGGTCACAGACAGTCCCATTTGACAGATCTGACTCTTAACAGAGTCATTACCATAGTTTAAGGGGCGACAGATTTTCCACAAGTGCAGAATTCAGGGAAAGCAGTTGTATTAGGATTTGATCTATATTTTCAAAGACTTCCTGAAGGTTTGACTGTGCTTCAAATAACTTGCTAGAGGTTTTGAGGAGCTCAGCAGTATATTGACATTTGTACCACTTTGCTAAGGGC